CAAGTTGAATGATTATGCTAAGTTTCAGGCAGTTGCTATTGCAATTGAGAGATCTGGGTTTAAGGTAAAAAGACATTTTGATACTTTTTGTGTTACCTTTACACACAGGATATGGGTCTCGATATTTTGTTAATGCATAGATTAAATTATTGAAATACAATTGGAAGGAACAAAACCAAGTTTCTGGTTGAGAATAATTTTCTTTTACAGTTCTTATAGATAAACCCTTATAAGGTTCAAATAATTTGTATTATATAAAATTTTCTCAATTCTAATAATGGATGCCCTCGTTATCTAGCAATATTCTTAAGCACCTGAAAAAGTCAAGTATGTTTCTTTTCTGACATATAAAATAATTTCACTCAACAATTGTCACAGGATGAAATATTTCTAATTTTTCGGTTCATAATGTTCGTAGCAAACTTCTTTGGAATATTGTCGTGTATTTGCTTCGTAGACTTACAAAATTTCTTGAACTTGCCATATGTTTCTCAAATATTCTGCTGTCTAATCAATCATCAACCACATATTTGTGCAACTCAAACTGCTGTGGAGAAATAATTGATGTGAATTGCAAAATCATCATAGATTATTAGCAGAAAATACTAGTTTAAGTCCATCTACTGGTACAAAATGCTTAAAAATGATGACTTGATGTCCTTGGCTGTTTATCTATTTCATTCCTATGGCTGTGTATGAATCAAGATTAATTGCCGTTAGTTTGTTACTTCCATTTGTTATGTCACTTCAACTTAGCCCATGCTTTTCCTGCAGCAGCAGTATCATCATAAGGAGCTAAGCCAACATTAGTGAAATTGATTTATATTTGTTGAAATGACTATCTCAGATGCATGTCTCCAAATGTTCTTTTAGGTCCATCAGAGACTGGAGTTGGTCAATGTGCTCATGTATTATTTTACAAAACACTGTTGTCTGTTCAGTGTTCGTTCTGACTCACTTTCTGATTCCATCTCTCTGTCATGTTTAAGAGGCAGTTTATTTGTTGACACTGCCATTCGTATAAGGCATTAACTACAAATTGATTATTTTAATAATCTGATATAGTCTGTGCCAGATCACATGTCCTACAGGCTTCTGAAGGAAATAGTCTGTGTTTGGCATTCAACAATTAGATTATTAATTTTTTTATGATATATTTATATGTGAAGTTATTATTAATATGGACTAGTTTTGTGGAGATGTGCATTGTAACTGCAACATCAACAAGTCATGATGTCCCAACTATTTGGGGTCAGCTGGACATATGCATTATAGCTAGTGAATAAAAATAAGTATAACATAAGAACAATGTGTTTGATTTTATTGATTTGTTGTGTTTCTTCATCCAATTCTGTTACACTGAACGTCATTCTAGTTCAAGCAGGGAGTAGCTTATCCACTATTTGATCATTTTATTTTATCTCTTTTTGCAGATTGTGTTGCTTCTTAGGCTTACACCTTTACTTCCATTTAACATGCTAAACTACCTCTTGTCTGTTACTCCTATTGGCATTGGAGAGTATATGATGGCATCCTTCCTTGGGATGATGGTATGTTTTCTTGAAACATCTTACATATTTTGAAAAGGTTACTAGAGAAGCGAAAATAGCAAAGTATAAGAATTTCTCAGCTGTTATGAGAGATTCAAAATTGCTATAAGGCCACTCTGTTTGAATACATGATTATTTCTTCTGTTACAACTTTTCACATGTTTGTAAGTTTTGCAGTTATTATGTTGATTTTGATATTGTTACTATGTAGCTACTGTGATCTATTTCAAACAGTAGGTTGAGCTATCATGATGAGTTTATAATTTTTAGATGTTTATAGATATATATAGTATGGGACAATGTGCTGGGGGCTTCAAAAGAGCTCAATGACTCAAGAAATCCTATGTAGCCAATCCACTAATACTAGGGACCTTATGGCTTGGTGTTGTCCTTGGTTGTTGTATTTGACTATTTTCTAAGGCATGCATACATTATATATGGGCTTGTCTTTGATTTCCTTACCTGGTCAATGGCCTAGATTTTTTATTTATACATCTAAGTGCACTTATTGGCTCTTTTTAGACATCTGATGTGTATACAAGTGACCTTCAAAAGCTATAAAAAAAGTGATATAGATTATTTAGTAATAAGTATTTTGGAGTCAGGATCAGCGGAGAAAATGTAAGATTATGATCAATGGAGCAAACTTTCGATTTGTCCCATAATCAGTAATATTGCATGCCTATATCCACTCTCAATGGGTAACCAAGCACTGTGCTGGACGATTATGTATGTAATTATGTATTCTTTTTTCAAAATGCTTTTAACTAATGTTCGTCTTATCACCATAGATCCACATTGTATTTTTGATTTGTACTAGTAAGCATATCCAGAGCACCTTTTCATGCTTATTCTTCTCAATTTTTTTATTACAGATGGTCTGGCGTGATCACTTCTACATCAATTTCATTATCTATTATTTCTTTTAATGCTTATTGCCCAAAAAGGTGTCGTTTGTTAATTAGATAATAGATAAGCAGCCCAATATTGTATGAGTCTACAAGAGTGACTGCTTAATTCTGACATTAGGATATCTAAATTTTTTACTATGTTCATGCCACCTTTTAGTGAACTATATGTTTCTTTTGGCTTTTTCTTATAATTGACATATACTGACTCTTTGACTTGGCAGCCAATTACGTTTGCACTAGTATATGTTGGAACAACACTGAAGGATCTAGCTGATGTCACACATGGATGGAGTGAATTGTCGCCTACTCGTTGGGTAAAAGCATCAACTGCAAGCATAACCATACACATTCATGAATTCCTCTTTGTTGATGGTCATGAACATAAATGTCTATTGTTATACAGCTCAGTCATATGCATAAATGCATTTCCATATTTCTATTCCATATATTTGTATGCATGCGAGTGTGTGTGCATGAGAATGAGAACATAGATCCCCACTTATTGGCATCGCAATTTGAGATCCTTTTTGGTTTAAAATGGATGCAGGTGCTTATCATTTCAGGACTCGTAATATCTGGTAAGGAGTCTCTCTGCACATAACTTTTGTTGAAATAACTCTAGAATGGCATGTTCATTTTCAAGGAGAGGGGAAAGCTACCAATATCCACAACCACAAGTGAGACTATATGCTAGTAATATTTCATTAAACATATTTCAGGGGAAAATGAAATAGTGCACTGGCATTGTTCTTGTGCTAAATACTTTTAGTTTTTTCTTAAACATAATAAAGCAGGCATGCAAATGTATTTCCAAACTTAAGGGTGTGTAAACCAGATAATTGCATTTGCATGGTTTATGCTAGTGTTTTTTGCTTGGACCTGCACAACAACAAAAACTCTGAAAACAGTCTTTTTTCTGTTTTCCAATGAAACATCATGGAGATTCTAGAAGCATATACAAAGAAAGGAAAATAAAAAGAATATAACTTGATTTTTTAGGTGGAAGATTTTTTGTGTGTGAATTAAGCGATGTGCTTTCCTTCACGGACGATATTGAAGTTTTTGCTTGGTAGTTATAAATATTTGCCTCAGACATGCAAGAACAGATCTCGAAATATACTCATGTTTTTCCTGATTGGTCTTAGAAATCATGGAGAAATGGAGTGGGCAAACCAGATAAATCTGGTTAAAATGCATGCCAGTCTCATTAGTTGCTGTTTAAATCTTAGTCTATGGGATTATTATTATTAGGTGAGACAAATGTTCTCTCTCTGTTATTGTGCAGCTATCCTCATCACATGTGTGACAAGAGTAGCAAAGGCATCCTTGGAGAAGGCATTGGCTGAGAACGCAGTGGTGGATGCCCTAACCACATCTCCTTCACCGGTCTCTCCAGGTGCAGCTGGTGACTTGCTCGAACCTCTCGTGGTTAAGATCGACCCCTCTAGAAATAATCACGAAAAGTAACATTCTTTCTTTTTCGCAATGTAAATACTAACCCTAACAGGTTCTTCTGCATTATATAAGTTCATATATGCACAAGTCTCAATCCATCACTGGGTTCCAAGCAGCTGATCTTTATGCTGCCACTGTATTGACTATGTAGCTTTTTCAACCTAATATGGTAGTGTACAGTTGTAAGGATGTTTAATCAATGCGTGGATCGTGGTTGTAGCCTGTTCTCTTTCATATTCACACGATTACCATCAAATTCTGGATTTAATATTCTTGTGCATATACATGCACAATAGTTATCAAAACTAGGAATCGGATAATTGATTTATCTGATCCATCTATTGAATTGGTTTTTGGGTGACTAGGTTGAATCGATCAGGTTATATCAAACCGTTTTGGTTTTGTAATACGGTTCATACTACTAGGATACTTTTGTTCTAGAAGGTTTTTATATCATGTCTGATTGCGTCTCTCCCCTATCAAACCCTCTCCTCCCTTGTGCCTTCTCATCTTTTTTTTCTCTCTCTAACCATCCGTCTTTCATTTTCCCTCTCCTTTTTTCCATTTAAGCTTTATTCCTAATGTCAGATCTTTATTTTCGTTTATGTTTTAAGATTATTTGCCTGTTTACTAATTTTTAATAGTATATCTATCTTTTTGAATTCGAACACTACATATGATTTCAAATTATTTTAAAATATCATTTAATTGAAGATATCGTCCACCAGTTTGACTAGGGATCCAGTGGCTCGAGAGTTATCATATGCAGCATCGACCAAGTGTGCCATTCGATCAAAGCCCAGTTCACATGCTAATTATTTCGGCCAGAAATAATTGGTATGTTCAGAAATGAATGCATTCGGGGCTTACATCGACAAGGGTTTACCTGGTTTCCTCATTGGTAGATTGATGTGTAATGATGGGAATTGCTATCATAGGGAAACATGTTCGACTTTGGAGTCCACCTGAATCCTCACGCACCTCTCCACCAAACTTGTCCTCCGCCATGAGAAATCCTTAACCTTCTTTCTAATGGAATCATATGGGTAATAGACCAACGATTGTTAGCATTTCTAGCTTGCTAATGAAATATAAATCTCAAAAGGCATTAAGACTTATGTAACAAGTTCATATCAGTAGATGAAATTAGCATGTATACATTCTGAAGTAGCTCTGACTTTCCGTATCTCCTATATAACAGCACCAGTAATGCTACTAACATTCTAAAGCATATCGTCCTCAGAAAGGGTGCCTATGGCAAGTCAGTGCCTTGAGCTTAAAACCAACAAAACTGCCCTGAATGCCATTTTAGCACCGCCAGCCAGCGTAGTTAACTTGTAACATTAGTAGCTACTAAATCAGTGTGAAGAAGGGAGCATGCAAGGACCAATGGGTAATATGATCAAACCTTTACTTCCCAGCAGATCCAGTGCGGACTGCATGTTCGACTCCATCAGTTGCCCCATCGCTTCTTCAAGAGGCTCACCACAACACTGCTGATGGAGCAAGTAGTGCCCATAACCCTGCAATACAACAAGCTCATAACTACAGGATATGAGCACACCAGAGCTGTGGCAATCAGATTGGAGATATAATACAGAATGATACAGAAAAATTTACTTGAAGAATTATCTTGACTGCTGTTATCTCTTGCACGATCATATAGTAGTAGCAGGATTATCTTTTCTATTCCCAAACTGGGGTTTCTATTTGCCAAGGTGAATGCGACAAACAATATGTTGCTATTGCAAGAACAATATGTGTATCGATCATTTTAGCTTTGATTTGAATAAGCAATCAGAAACTATGTGCTCTAAGATAGCCACCGGAGGATGTCCTATTCATATTGTTGAAAATTGATAAAGATTTGCTCCTCATAATAAACAAAATGAACAACTGCAAGGCATGATTTGGACAAGATAGAGAATCCTTGACGTATGCTGATTCAATTCCTGGTGTCTAAGGAAGCTCATGACAGAAATATTACGCATTGGAACAACATGGCACTCATGCGTGCCAAAGAGAAGATGAGGATCATTTGTACATGATCCATTTTGAGCTGTCAATACATTGCAATTCAGCCTATAATTAAAACATACTCATACTTACCATATTAAAAGTTTGCTCTTACCAAAGCAGGGAAGGAAAAGGAGTACCAACCAATGGTTCGAATGGAACTAAAAACCAGTGGTAGTGGAGTACCTCTACATAAACAAAGGGGTATATCGCAGCTTCACCATTTAACCGGCTCTGGCTTACTACCTGCAAAATAATCAAGGCAAAAGATTTTGAAATTCTATAACCACTATGTTGAGATTCGTAAAATGAAAACAAAATTGTTCAAGTTGGAAAAGGAACAAGGTATTTGTATCTTCTATAAGGAGTCTTGATTTAGAAAGCAAAAAAAAAGAGTCCCTGAAAGATAAACCGAAGTTCGGGAAACTTTTAAACCCTCTTAAATCCTTATATTTAGTTGCCTAAATAATAAAACATCAACTAAGACCTACTTATGGTTGGGCTGGTAAGGTCCTGTTCTGAACTTGTCCAAACCCTTTTGTTACATTTATTTGCTTCATAACAGAAGACATATGCATATAAGATCTATTACAAACCTTATATACATAAAAAAATGTGATAAATTTAAAAAAAAAAGAAGCCAAAATTAGAACATGATATATGAGTCATGCAAGACAATACCATATTAATAGGGGCCCTATTAATACTAAAAAATGAAAATGCTCCTACAGCATTTGATACTGATACAATGTGTCTCGATTGTGAATCAACTGAATAATAGTTGAGCCACTCATCAAATGTGTCATTGGTAGATAGTACAATTGGAAAACCTTCAACTTGTATGTATTGGGATCAGGTACTAATATGACCAGGCACAACTATTGAAAACTATAATTGCCATCACTAAGCTGCAACCACAGGCCACATAAAACCATCGACTCTGCAACTTTGGCCACAAAAACCTGTGCTAAAATGGTGGTTGCAGTCATGAGCATCTTCTGCATACTTTATCTCACTGATCTCTCTCGTCTTCTTTTGGTCATCAACATCTTTTCCCTTGCCCTTTGCCTTCCCTTTCATAAATTATTTTTTGACCACTGCCTACCTCTCTATGTTGCAAGAACATAATTATCCCTGGCCACCATTGCCATTACCATCAATGTGGGTAGAAGCATTTTGGATCTTGTGGAGATTGGAATGAGACGGAGAGGTCCTGCCATTCTCATAATTGGATTGCTTATTAATTGCAATTAATGGATCAATACAATGAGACAACATTTGCCTTGTCATGCCCCATAGATAACTGAGACTACTATCATGTCATGAAACTCATGGAGGACTGACTATACATTTGGTGCTCTAATCTGATATCTTTCCTCCTCATATCAAGCCTCCTAATCATGTTGGTCCTCAATCTAGAATTTTAATAGATGTGGCAGATCTCCCACCTCATATAGTGGGTCATCACACAAATACAGGTCAATCATATTTGTCCCAATTTAAAGAAGAAATGCAAAGCAAAGGATGCCAAGATTTAGAACAGTAAACAAGCACAAACACTAAAATAAAGCTTGGGTTTACCTTAGTCTGGAGAAAAAGATATCTATTACTTGAGATTTAAGCTTGATTTGGATGAAACCTTTAAGAGAGAGAGCTTCTCAAAAAGAAAACTAGCTATTACAAAAGTGAGTTAGAAGTGAAGGGTTGTTACTATCTTAATAGAAGGAAAAATTGAAAATGGGGCTGCTACTACAAATTGCATGGTAGGATGATGTGGATATCAAGTGGTACAGATACCATCTTGTATTTGTACATTTCTTTTGTGCCTAGTATGAACTGGTATGACCTATGATGATCAGAATGCAAGCCCATTGTGTTTAGACCAATAAATATCAGTCAGTCGTGCCCACACATACTATTTCAAAATTTCAGTTCAAATATATTGATTGATGTCATTGGTAGTCTTTTGTTAAAATGGAATGCCCAACATAGCTAAAATTGTACTTTCATTTCCAGAAATTTTAAGTTCTAATTACCTTTTTCTAGGATATTGAAATGTTAGGTTGTTAAAATATCCTGCTCTTGATGACAATATTTATTGGTTACTTGTTACCATCTCTGTAACAACATACTCTAATGCTTCTTGTAAATGCTAATGATTGTTGAATATGATATTATATGCTTGACATATTCTTTGTAGACAAATCCGTGTTATAATGTATCTTTCTCTTACAAGATTTGATGTATAAGCAAATCCATTGGAACTCTAACACTTGGCGATATTTGATGTATAAGCAAAGTCCATTACAAGATTTGATGCATAAGCAAAATATCCTGTTCTTGATTAATAAGTTGGTGATATTTATTGATTACTTGTTATCATCTATCTGTAACAACATACTCTAATGCTTCTTGTAAATGCTAATGATTGTTGGATATGATATTATATGCTTGACATATTCATTGTAGACAAATCCATGTCAGAATGTATCTTTTCTTACGAGATTTGATGTACAAGCAAATCCATACCATACCATATCATACATTCTTCTAAGCCAAGAAGAACAAATGTTTGTCAAAGATATGAATTGCTAAAACACAACTTATAAAATTGGTGATCCAATATACTTTTTCTGTTCGTTTCATTCAGATATTTTTATATCTATTTCAAAGAAAATTTACAATAGTAATTAATCCGAAAATTACTAAGGAATTTAATATTTTTGTTATTTGGGCTTAAATGCTAATGATTGTTGAATATGATATTATATGCTTGACATGTTCTTTAATAGACAAATCCAATGTCATAATGTATCTTTTCTCTTATGAGGTTTGATATATAAGGATATGAATTGCTATACAATATGCTAATGGTATACAATATGCTTTTTCTGAATGTTTCAATCAGATATTATTTGTATCTCTTGCAAAGAAAATAAACAATTTAATCTAAAAAACTAAGGAATTTACCAATTTTGTTATTTGGGCTTAAATTCTGAAACTTGGACTAAAGCTACTAATATCATTGAAAATGACAATAGCAAAAGTTTTTCAGCATATTGCTAAACTTTACCTAATCCTAGAAACAGCATCAGCTGGACAGTTCATAGAAATTTCTTTCAAGCTTAATTTTTAACGAGAAAAAGCAAATATTTATCATGTGCTGTTCAAACTTGGACCCATATGAGATATTTGCATGGTGAGAAAATAGAGTAAGTCACATTGGTATATTTTGATTCCCTGCAATTTGTCATATAAGTTTTCATATTGGTATAATATAGCTTTGCTAAGTTAAAACTTAAAACTGTTTCTAGAACATAATATTTTCTTCTTTTTTTACTTTTAATACAACATATTAAAAGAGATATACAAATCAAAAACTTTAAGAACACAAGAAAGAAATTTAACCAACCTTGAGCTGAAGTTTTAAAAACTTTATATAATCGATGACATCATCCAGAACAGATTCTTTTTTACCCTAGATGTGATAAAAAAAAGGAGGGGAAAGATAAGACTTCCATGATCATACGATGAATACATAGCCACCTATTTTGTATGTTTTACAAACATAGGAATGTTAATTATTATTATCTAATAATTAGCTAACACAGAGTACAAATTTTCATTGCATTAGTGGAGTAGAATGAATATGGAGTAATACATCCCAAGTCAACATCTGATATTAAGAGGAAGTGCCAGAGCAATTCATATATGAGAGTAACTAGTTCAACATCTAGCAAGAAAGAACAAGGAAGAGGCAAGGTAATATTCAAGCAGTTAGTTAGTTATGCTAAGATCATAAAGCACTGTCAAATATTGCAGATTAAACAAATGTATCACCACATACACATACAAACAAGCAAGAGAAAGCTACCAACACATGACAGAAAGATTGTGCACAGCCAGAAGGTACATTTTGCCCAGGCAACTCGCTGATACCATTTTTGTCTTGATTTAAAACTGCGTCCATACTCCATACTATATAAAATAATTAAAATAATTAGCATGGAAAGATGCCAAATATTCTAATGGAGGAGTTATGTTGGTTTGTTATGAAAAAAGTGGGTTCAACAAACGGCCTTCTGATCATGCTGGGGTTTGGTGAAGAACATTGACAATATAAGATTATACTATCAAGCTAGGCATCAAGTGGAACTAAGATGGAATAACATAGGAAAGTTAACAAATTCAAGGTACAGTCCTCATGCCATAAAAATACAATAATTAAGTACAAGTTGAGACAATTATAGCAAAAATGAACTCAAGAACGTATCATGCAGCAAATTAGGAATAAAAGGTAGATTGCCCAAAATTCTCTTAAAACTATTTAAAAATAGATATGCAACTCTGACAAGGCCAGCAAAAGCTACAAAGATAAAACAAAGCGTAGATTAAACAAAAGAAAATTTAATGCTCATCTATCTTACCTGGCCAGAGAATGGTATACTATTTTGCAATGCTTTAATTCCTTCAGTAATCCTAGCTCTGCGGAGCTGCCATTACCATATTAATAAGAATCTCATCCAAACCAAAGATTAAGAAATTAAAATATCAAATTATAAAAAAATTTATGTTGTCCAAGAAATGACAGAAAATTAGGAAAATAATCAAAAAGCTAAATTTACTATGATTTATCATAAATCTGCAACTATTTTCATGAACAAGATATTCATTGCAAGAAGTGAAGATTTTAGTTCGAGATACAAACTGATCCATTATTCATGATCAAGCAGTTTGAGAATGACACAATGAAAAAAAGACAAATAACATCAGTTCAAACCACATTCAAATTTCGATATACAACAGAAAATAGACAAATAGCAGTGATTATGTGAAGACTTGGACTTGCAGCAAAATAGGCTACTTCAATGGATGCCATCAAGCTTGAACAAATTGTATTAGTTAAGCTGATAATATGATAGTATACCTGAGCAAGCTCTAAGAGACATGTTCCATGATCAGAACTGCTTAACTTAATTGCAGTACAAGATGTATAAACTTCAGAAACTCGTATCAGAAAAAAAATCTTATATTTTTGTTATAGACATCTTTACCCTGTTCTTTGTAGCAGCTCTAGCTTTGTCTTCTCTTGAGTGAACCATCTCTCTTGAATGAATCTCAATGGCATGTTCTTTCCTTTCATCAGAGTTCTCTTTCGTTAAAGCATGACTCTGTTTATTGAAGTCACATCAGAATACAGCAACTATGTATAAAAGATTAACATATTCTTAGACATGGCCTAGAGTTTATTTTCACTACTAGAACATGTTCATATTAAAAGATTAACATATTCATTTTTGTGAAAGGGAATAATATCAGTATTCTTAGGCATGGTTTCCTTTCCTTCTTCGACACTTGGACATAGAGATGCAAGCTGATTATCTCTTCAAATTTCCAGAATGTTTTGTTCTGCATCCGACATTACTTGTCTACAAAGAAAGGAAATTCTTACCCTGGGAACTGTGGCACTTGTGCCGACCTCACCATTCCGAACAAGAGACAAAGCTTTGCCAATGTAGCTTGTGGATTCCCTTTTAATGTAAGGAGTGTTTACTACTGTAGTGCTGACATTGTCAATCGATGAGTTATTTGATTGATCCAGTAGAGGATTCTCGATGAGTTTGAAATGTTGAAACAGATTTCTTGTTTGGGAACCATAATATGATTTAGCAGCATCCACTCTAGAAATTGGCAAAACAAAATCGCCCAGTATGTTTTCAGCAGGAATGGTACAAAGTTGCCTTGGGTCAGAAAATGGAGCATCAGTATAAAGCTCATTAACACTGTTGGAAAATACTTGCATATAATGAATCTGAGGTGAGATGAAATGCTGGGAAACAGAAGATTTTTCACTTCCAGGAATAGGCATGATATTTAGTGATATTGCTCTTGCTTGATCTGGCAACAGCATCAAGCTGCTCATCCTGAAAAAATTTAGTTGCTCTCTTGACCAGGGTTTCTCACCACAACTACCTTCACCCATGTTGCCAAAAGGAAATGAAGTCCAATGCACGAAACTACTTGCAATCACTGACTATTTCTGCATAATTAGGTACAACAGAATATTAATTAATGAAAATAGAAATTTGAATATACAGTGAAATTGGTGTTTGATCAAATAAGCACTCTCTTTCATTTTCATAGAATTGTTCTTCCCAGGAGAATGATTGAATGAAAAAAGTGGAAGGTTCATATTGGTATACTAGGATTCTCCAATAATATTGCACAAGATTCTACCATTATCATGCTATAATAAATTATTTATAATTTGGTAACAGATTGATTTTTTTAGTCTAAGGAACCTTTGGAAATTTAGATAACATATAAAAGAATGCAAACTACACATAATTCTGAGGAAAAGCATATGGAGGGATAGAAAATCTGAATTGAAGATATGAATGTAACCCGCATGCCTGTTTAGATATTTGAGCAATTATCCAAGTCAATTGAAGTCAAAATTCACTGAACTTAAATATAAAGTTCAGGTCATTGAAAAATGAAGTTAAGCTCATCTTAAACTTTTATCCTACAAATCTTACCAGATAGCAGACAAGAAAAGTAAATAAACAAAGTGAAATATGCATATGTGGATTTTCTAAACCCTTTTGTTAGTGACACAATCTCAACAAATGTATTTAAGCATTATAAAGGTGGTTCTAGAATCTGCAATCTTCAGATTTATACTACATATTAATATTATTAAGTTCCAAATTTGGCAATGATTATATTCTAAATTGTGCCTACATTTGTATTGGCCTGATAGTAGCCATCTTATATTTCTTTGCTCTGATTGTGAGTCACAACATGTCATACATTCAATTAAATTACCAGGAGTTCCAATATCCATCATATTTCACCTTTTTCTCAGAATATTTGCACAGAGGATTGCATGTTTTTGATGCATACACATTTTGTAGATGTGAAATACATACATAATTGTGCTTGTTTACTACCTTGTTCTACAAGACATCTTCAACCAATGAAGTGCTTCAATGATAATGAACTGACCTTATTTCCAGGATACCTAAAATCAGTTCTCAACATGAAGTTGCTCCTTTAACTTTGATTAGGAAATGTTGAAGCAGAAGCTAGTTAAAAGTGAGATGAAAACTTAAGTTATAGTTACAAAAGGGAAAGCCACCAGTCTGCTAATGCATTAAGTTCTTTATCTGGAAAGGAAAATGATTATGTTGGCAGGATTAGCAAATATGCAAAGAAGTATACCCTAGTATTGGTCATCACCAAAAGATTCTTGTGCCAATCTATGCAAATGAGTGCCAGCAATATATTAGTACAGTATGCATATACATGGATGCCAACAATAGAAACCATATCCATTACAGAGAGTCAAACCATTCTAAGTCAAAATAGATATAATTCTTCTTTCTTGACTAAGCCACAAACCAGGGAAGGCTGAGTTCCCATTGGTTAGTAGCACCACCCCATAGGGGGCTACCGGCCTCTCACCTAGCACATGTGTCAAGAGAAAACTAAGCCCATGGATAACTAATCGAAAATCTATCTTCTTTGGTTGGTGGCTCAACCAAGACTGGTAAGCCAGACAACCAAAATTATAGATGATTATCAAACTTAGGACCTCCTAGCATATGATGCTCTGATACCAAATACAGAGTAAACATCCATATGTAGGATATGCTGCACTGATACCAAATACAAAGTAAACAAGTGAATGAAGGCGTTTCTAGTATGGAACAAAACATATTTTTTCTAAGATTCAATTGTAGAATATTTAAAACAAGCATTACGTAATTTAATTAAAAGACAAAAAAATGATCAACACCAATCGCACTCTCACTCAAGAATTCACTCACAAGAACGGAAGCTAGGCACCACGCACGTCTTCTATGTGGATGATGGAATCACATTACTGAGAAATAAACATGATCTCACAACACTAGTACATAATGTGAGGAAAACAAATTTAACTAGCTCGGTCATATTTCTAACTATAAATCTTTTTCTATGTATATAGGCCCCCAAGTACAAAAAAATAAAAATTGAAAATATATAAAAATATAGTCAAGAAAATTCATATCCCTTAGGTTGAGGACCATCAATCATTCTCTTTCTTTGGGGAAGGTGTTCTTCCAAATATATTTGATATATAGTCTTCCTTTTTTTTACAAAATTTTTGACTGGCATTGACTACCTTTGCATAGGATCTTCAAAAAGCTTAAAAACCTTATTTGATAATATTCAGTTAAGCTCAAAAGTGTTATTTCTTTCATCCATTTCCATTAGTTTTTTCCTTTTTTTCCCTCCTTGAACAATTAAAGGAGCAAGTCTGTTAGCTCAGCTGGCAAAGTGCAGCCAAGATCTGTCAAGATGAGAGCAAGTGGTCGACAGAATTGCAGTTAAAAGAATTTCTGAAATTAAGTAGATACTGTAACAGCAATGACAGAGACAATCTAGTCTAACACAAAGCAGAAGTAGCATTCAGTTGACAAATCTCCTATCCACGAGACTATCTAATCGAGTCTAACACAAACTAAATGCAGCATTTAGTCGACAAATTTCCTATGCAAAGAAAAATTCAAGCGACATAATATTCTAGAGCTAATTGGTTGAAGATCAGTGCCTAAAGTTGCTTATTCTTTTTTATGATACTTGTTAGGGCAGGAATAAGAGGGCAATTAGGTAATTTTCTGGTTTATTATTTTTTAAACTCTCTAACACTAATGCCTACTACTGAGAGCAGCACAAATAAATAAATTCTCGATGCGCATGACGCATATGGACATCAGTCTGATGATGAGCAAGGAATTTGACAAGTTGTTGAGCTGAAAATACAGCAACTGCGCACTACTTATCAGGATTACTCTGAGGTGATTATTTGTGTTGATCAATACATCACCGAGCCCATGACAAGGTTTCGGGACGCCAATTACCAAAGAAGAGGCGGACAAGATTTGTTCCAAAATGAACTCAAGCAAGGATCCTCATGTCAAATTATCGGTCAATTTGTCAAGATGATGTGCTGAAAAAAGTCATCGGTATTCTCGATCGTAATCATCTCCCGTAAGCACCAACAAAACCTACATTGCTCCGATTTCAAAAGAATCCCCAATCAACAGTCAGTAGGTCCAGAACACTGTAATGATCGAATAAGATCTAGAAATCAGAAGTTTTCATATAATATAGTATTATATTCACAATCTCATATCAAGAAGCAAACTCAACATATAGATGCAGTCGGTGTCAGGCATTTCATTAGACATTAATCACCAGTAGAGTATAAAAGAAGCACAAAGCATCTCCATCAGATAGCTTGGTTCATTTATCAAACTGGAAGAGCAATAAACATCATGCATCGGAAGGCAAGTGTTCAAAGAGACTGATGTATCCTTCGAAGAAACCCAACTACAACCAAGGAAAGATCAAGAACAGAGGCAGCACATAATCCGAACGGGGAGAAATCTTCAGCTCACTGAGAACAAAAGACCGGGATGAGGGAAAACAAGGCAAGATGTGGATCGATGCCATACGAATGGGAGAGGGGGACGTCTCCGATGGGATCACTTTTAGGGTTTCGAAGAGGAGGACGAAGAGATGTAGTAGCGGAGCAACAGCATTTGTCGGTTGCTCGCTCTCACTTTGATTTGGTTTCTGAGCGTAGGAGTCGCGTGCCTGCTCTTATATGGCAGAAGCGTGGGGGAGAGAAGAGATGTTTTTACGAAACTACCCTTATCTTTCGAGGGACGGCAAGCAACAACAATATGTTTGATCATTGATCATTTACTTGCTTTGTTTACTAAAAGATTCAAATCGGATCATATTTGAATGCAGGACAGAGTTGGGATCATAAAATTTACTCTATTTTGTGCTCGAATAAGCAATATCTGCCTTGTAATCGGCTTTTGATTTTATATAGTTCTTCTCCTTTGGAGAAGAAATTTTTACACTCAAACCCACTTGTCAAAACCAATATTTTTTTACACTTAACTATTCGTTTAGTGATGCTGTATCAATCTCATTCTTTAACTATTAATAATAATAATAATAATGCCATGAATTCACATCTCATCTACAATTTATCTTTTGTAAGAAAAAAACATAATAATTTATATATAATTGTAGAATTGCCTGTAGCACATATTTCACGAGCAGTAAGCTGTAGATAAATTTCTAGATCTTGTGTCTGCACCTCATTGGGGGCACCGAACACATCTTCATCTCCTCTACAACTTTGCTACAATTTGATAGGGAGAATAGTTTTAAGACTCTTTGAGTTTTGAATCTACCTTCAGCAGCACCTTCTTCAGTTCTCTGTATTTATTTAATGGCGTCAGTATAGATATCACTTTGACAATTTAATGCAGCTAAAATATCATAACCTCACAATTCAAGCAGAAAGATTTTATGTCTGCATTAATGAAAGGAATTCGATCCACAGAAAACACCTTATGAATCTCGAAGTGGTTTAGGCCACATTATTGATGTTAAAGACACATGATACATAGATCAGACTAACAGAGATCCAACCATTACAGTCACAGCTTCTCCCTGAATGCATACACGCTGAGTCTCCTCCACAAGTTGAAGGTCCAATCTTCCACCTCTTGGAGAAGCCTGGTTTGGTTTACAGTAGAGATTAAATACATCGGCATGAACAGTTTCTATTTTAGAAAGAGGATGATACCATGTAAGCGATGAGGCTTGTTTTCCCCAGCTTTTTGCTCCAGTAGGGGGCTAGAGCACAATGTGCGCTTCCACAAACAGGATCCTGAGATGTGAATTTATATGAACAAAAGAGAGAAATTAATTTCTTATATATCATAAAACCACAAACCCAAAACCAAGATCATATCTCAGTTAAACAGATTCATTCTTATGTACATGCATCTGCAAATACATATCAATCATAAGCAACTGGACATGAATGCTATCAAATTCAACCAATGCATTGAAACCTACAATGCAAAAAGGTGAAAAAGTTATTTTCTTCCAGAGAAAAAGAATCAACATGTTAACAACACCACATTGCAGGAACAGTTCCATGGTTGTTTGAACATGCTGGTTTATCATTTAAATTTAAATCAAGTTTGAGCAAATGATGAAATGGAAATGAAAAACAGGTCCTTTACTTACAGAGAAAGTGAAAAAAGGTCAATGGGCATAGCATGAGCATGGGCTAGTCACTACAAGAAGAAGAAGAAAAAGAAAGATGATGCATTTCTTAAGAGGTCAGTATTAAAAGTTAAAATCGATACGTCTCAGAAACCTACATGTGCAACATCCTCATTATTTATACGAGTGTAGAATGAGGCTACCTCAAATTTGATCTACATTCTTCCAACACCCTCACACCAAATCATGAGATCTGAACTTCGTTTGCCTATACATTAACTTGTTCAAAATATGAATGAAGTCACAAACTATTATTGTATTAGTTCATGTGTTTTTCTTATTATGAGAACAGAATCAGTGGAATATTATATTCTTTTAATGCCTAAAATCCTCAAAGTATGTAGAACAGAATCAGTGGGGTGAGTCATTGATTTTCAACATGTCAACCATCAAAACACATATGGATTCACCTTCAAGCACATGAGACATTAACATTAAATTACAATTTCTACAAGTTTGACATAAAATAATTGTTGAAGAAAAAGATTGTTTTGTCCTCCTCTGTTGCCATCAGGACTGTTCCTCAATTGTAAAAGGAAGATGTTAGTTTCCCCATTATACATGACTTCCCTTAGATTGTTTTGTCATCCTCTATTGCCGTCAGGACTGTTCATCAATTGTAAGAGTAAGATGTTAGCTTCCCCATTATACATGAGTTCCCTCATGATACTTCCCAAGAGGACGCTTTTATGCATAAAATGTGCAGCCTTCTAGTATTTATGACATGCTCTCAGTTGCATATGCCCACTGGAGATTCAGATTCTAATTTCTTTATTCATAATCACATCACTACACTATCCTTTTGCAGTCTCGCTTAATCAAGATCATAAGAGAAAGGTAAAAGATGTGTAAAAGGAAATCATTGGTGATCTATCCAACATAATCTAGTTCTACTCAAGGGCAAAGCTTAATAATGTTCACAATCCTCATTAGTAGATCAACCACATATGATGGTTAACAAGTAATTTAGTGAAATGTTGACTAGAGAGGATTTAGAAGTGATAGGATAAGAAAAAAGGAAATCCAAACATGAGGAAATCACTATACCCTTTAAATAGCCTCTCAAGTACATGAAGAAATAAAATCCAAACATAGAAGGAAAAAGGAAATCCTTAGTTTTGTTAACTGAATGAAATACTGATCAGAAATTGACTAAGGATTATTATAGATATTCCATAAAGTGCTAGTTTAGAATCAATCATGTCATGACCTATTTCTCAAGATTCTATACTTTCTTTTTCTGTGTGATTCTTGAATAAGGATGATATTGATGTGCAAATTGGTATTAGTTTCCACAGTCGAAAAGGCATCTTCACCTTAACATTACTAGATGTATTGTTGTAAAAAGTTGGAGAAGTGGTTGCTAACAATTAATATGATTCTGAAATGTGGTCATCAGTACTTGCTATCAACACTTGTGGCTGGTGGATAGGATTAGAAGAGAGAATCCAGAAAACGAACACACAATGCCAATATGACGATGCTCTTGATGTATTTTATTTTCATGCATCAAAGCTCAGAACAAAATGGCATAGATATGATGACCAAAACCAATCATAAGTGCAACTAATAGCCTTTATAATCTTATGGTATATCTATAATGTGGAGAACATGAATCTTGTAACTAGTTTGCATGACATATGTAAAATTATTGAAAGTTAATGTCATTATTGGTTTATATATAGGTCAAAGAGGAATGAATGATACAAAATGCCACCATATAATGATGGTGGATGCACAGCCTACCATATAATGCCACCATTTATGGGCCCCACATCCACAAGAAATAAAACCCTTTCTTTCTTCAACCATAAGAGAGGAACCAATGACTTAGAATACAGCATTACTTCCATCATTACTTCCATTTTTTCTTTTTTTTTTATTCTTCAGGTGAGAAGCATGCAAAGACAATCAATTTCTGTGATAAGCTTCAAGTATCTACCCAGTAAATCTCAGACATATAGAAACTCTGGCAACAAATACATGTGCCTCTAATTGTGTACAGACATAAAATGTCTCAACAGTAAATGGCAGCAATATGCAGTTGCATTGACCCCAATAGTAGTGTTTTGAATCAATCAAACAAGTAGATAAATTCACATGTCTTTACATCAATTACCTCATTGATTCCAAACTTTGGGCAGAAGAAACGTGTAAAAATGTCATATTCAGATCCTGGAGGGGCAGGTGCAGTTACAATAAGGCCTCTTCCAGCACACTTCTGTATCTCATCAAAGTTTGGATGTAAATCAACGACTTCCTTTCCTGAAGAAAGTTCTACCTACCAAGTGAAGTTCAATTCTCTATGTCAATGAAATCTTTTCCAATATACCATAACTTCCTTAAGTGAAACAGCAATTAAGCAAAAGATACATTCGACAACACCAAAAAAAGGTGGATACAAACCTAGCATAAAATTTCCAGAAATTTTGCTTTTATTGTATATAAAGCATGACAGATTTTAGAGGTAGTTCAGTCCTGCAAGCAATGGAATTGTTCTTAATAACAAAAACAGACAGGTGGTCCATTGCACAAGAAGCTCCTGCCAATACAGGATCGGATCAATGTATGTCAGCCTTACCTCTACAAGTAAATAGGTTGTTGCTATGACTCAAATGAACTACAAAGGAGCAACCATATTATTGGACAAGGCTTGCTGTCAGTTGTTCAATATATAAGTGTAGCAATTTAATATCAAATTTTAAAATATGACAAGTGATGGTTACTAGGTATCAAGGAAGGTTACTCAGATGTCTATCAAGAGATAAAAGAAAAGATGCACACAATGAGATCATGACTGGTCTCTGTTTTCTGAACGTTGACTATCGATGCACCATTTAGTGTCTCCGTAATTGATGGCATCTCTGCAGCATTGCATCCTCCCACTGGAACCACCGGAAAATCCAATTCAATAGAAAACTTCTCCCCAGCTTCGTTTAGCGCCACATTTGGTGCGCCCAAAAGATTGGATCGGATGACTTTCTTGGCTGTCAAAATTCCAGATTCTGTCACAAACTCAATCACTGTGCTGCTCACAAGACCAGATGTCCAAAGAAAATGTGCAGCTGCTAGAGTTGCATGTCCACAAAGCTTCACCTGCCAAAAAGGAAACACATGAAGTTATCAAGAGAGAACATGTCTAAAGCTGCTTAAGAAACTCAAAATTTCTAAGCTGCTTAAGAATTCAATGAGTAGAACACGTCTAAAGCCTAGGCCTTTTACAAATCAAACCTTGCATCACTGTTGCACACTTACATGTTGGAAGAGTGGAAATCTGAGTTTAGTTTTCAGCATGAACGAGCATCATTTCAGAGAAAATCATGTCATTTTTCATACTCAAATTGAATGCAATTGATAGGATGCATGTGATTGATGGATCATAGGTGATCAATGAAAAACCAATTAATGTTGAGGGGTTAAATGTGCAATTAATGA